AGTGGGACACAGATGAGTTCGGTTAGCGGTCGGGTGAGCTTTCATCGATGACCGTCAATTTCACTCGACCTAACCCGGCAATACAACGAACTCCTGGCTCAGTTCTTAGGGCGTTTGGCTCTGATCAAAGAAGTGGCGAGTTCGAGGCTCGGGTGGGACATCACTTGGGTCTGGATATGACTGGATGACGACGGATAATAAGTTAGAAATGGCCATTCCAGTCTTCTTTGTCTTTGTCGGTAATACTATCTGCCTATTGTGTTCACTACTGGTTGTAGTAGTGCAACTGTTTATTCAACTACGTAGCTCTGCGGTCACATCATAGACTGAAGAGTAAAAATAGGTCAGGTATGACCTCTCTGGTTAGTTAAAATTCCTTCAACATTAGTCTTTACGAAAGAGGTCACAAGCGTTATTCTGAGCTGAGAGAGGAGGAGAAAGGAAGGAAGGGGAAAGCGGAGGAAATTGTCTCCAAAGCCAACACCCACCTGTTTCGAGATGAGATAGGGCAGGAGACGGTCGAGAAGGTACTGTTCCGGACTCGTTGAAAACATACGTGGATGTGGCGCCCTGGGATCCCGCCTCTGATAGCCGGAGTCACAACCATACAGAAATGCCCCAGTCCGGCGATTGTGACCATGTAGGTCGCAGACAAACACCTCCTGAAAAATTGCATACCGGAGGGCACCGCGTTAATTATATCTACTGCTACTGCTGCCACTTCTACTCTGCAGCATGACTAAAAAATTACGCATAAATGCTGGCTACTGCGTAACATCTAGTAGTATAGGCTAACCTTGCATAATTTGGACAACGAGCGCACGACGGACTTCATATGGAAGAGTTCAGGGAAGGCATCTTCATTGGGATTCTGGTACTGTCTGTTCAGGTCTTTCCCAAGCAGGGAGCATCTGCAAGAAGAGTTGAACTTATTAATCAAAGTAACAGAGGTGTGAGTGGTTTGGATAAATCCCAGTTTTGAAGTCATTGGCTTAAAATCCTTGTCAGGGGTCAGTAGACAAACTTTATCCTGAACCAAATCACATTATTTAGTCGGCCGAACAATTCTATAACACCCCTTACATCAGCTGCTTTACCTTAATCTAATTGTTTTCCTTACAGACCCGGTTAATTTCCAATTATTAAAACTGGTTTAATGTGGAACCAAAAATAAATAGAAACTTTCGTATTCAAAGGAAAGAAACGATAGTGCATTTCATGCTAAAATGACTAGGAGATATAAGAATTCTTTTATTTCTTGTTACTCCAAACTATATTACTGATTTTCAAACTGAGCCGCCATTCTCCTCTTCCATTCGCATGTAAATTTTCTCATATATACGTCGGTTGGTCTATTTCACCAATCATAAACCGATTTTTAACACTCATTGTTTATTTGAACTGCAAAGAGGTAATGAGTGTACGAGGTCAAGATGCTAGAGCCTTTTTGAACGCAGTGCAATTTGGCCGATATTTGACGACTTTTCTTAGGGCATTTGTCCACGATGTCGAAAATTGTAGTCATTGGCGAGTCTCGATTACTTTTGGTTTCCCGCTGTTGTGAGTTTTTGCGCTTAATATTATTCCTTTTGAATGAACGAAGTTTTCTGCTGATAATTTTGGGGCGTGGGACGGAATGACAAGCTTTCTTTGGTAGCCGCTCAAGCATCCATGCCAGGGCACGGCTTCGATTTCGAACACGTGTGAATACTGGGTCAGTCGGACGACCGAATCTCACGCCTCTTGCCAGAGGCATGGCACTCGGACGCGGATTCAATTAACAGGCATATCGATCTTCCTGAAGCCTATCTCGCATTGCGCAAAAATAATCGATAGCAGAGCTGAAGGTTATTCCTGGCAGACTGGAGCTAAATACATGGTGAGTTGTACATTTTGTTATTCCTTGACAATGGCCTCGAGTGAGAGTCCGAAACGTTGGACAATAAAATACTGGTCCCAGAGAACGTCTTTTCGACTTCTATTCAAAATAAAGTGTATATATTTCTCTTCAAGAAAAGTTTTTGACCGAGCAACTTGACAACGTGAAATGGATGTATACGAAGTGATTGTTCGACCTTCGGTTACGACGAGAGCTGTCAATGTGTGCGCCATTGCAGGATGGCATAGGGACGACCATACTTGTCTCAATTATATTACGTTGATAGTAGACTTGCGCTGCATCTACCTCGCTTTCCCCTCAACCAGACTGAAGACGAGAGGGCGTAACCGGAGCCAATACCAGGCGTGTCACC